CGCCTGACACCTTGCACATTCTTAGCCTTCACTCTCTCACTTTCCTCTCATCCCCATCAGCCCCTGTCCTTTACTTCCTTCAAGAATCAGCACAAGTTACAACTTCTCCACGCAGCTTTCTGAAGGGTTGGTGACAGGCCATCTATTCTTGGAATTTCTCTGGTTCACCGATTCTCCATTGGGAGTAATTTTGTCTGGCACTCCCACCCTGGGGGATACCTGGTCATATCTGGATATATTTTTATATATCACAACTGGCATGGAAGCCACTGGCATTAATTCAATAAAGAACAAGGGTACAGCAACATGTCCCCCTCAACACAGAGCATACACAAGGACCCTTGTGCCAAGAACCCTGCAGTCTAGCCTGTCTATGGTACCCTGTCATCTGGCTGTTTATTACAGTCTAGAATTACAGAGTTGGGTGGGAACGCTTAGGAACCATCCTGTCACCCCTCAGATTGTACAAGCAAAAAACATCCATCCAAGAAAAGCTGTGAGGCTCAGAGTGAGTCACTGCAAGGCTTTGTCCCATGAACCAGAGCCCTTGACCATTTTCATTTCACCATCTGATTTTCTAAGTATAGAAGTTTCTATACGCACTGCTAGGATCTTTTATTAAACTTGCAGTAACTCTGTTCCTTAGTCTTGTACTCTTAGCACACACAATACATATTTGTTATCAAGTCAAAATATCTAGATTTTGTAAAATACTATTTTATTCTGTTGAAGACATATTTTAAGAACTGTAAATTTACCTTCTAGATATAAGTGCTCAAAAGGACAGACTACATCTAAATCACAGAAGACATTCTAGGGAGGCTGTTCAGCGCTAAATAAATTTAGTAAATTCTAGTCACTAGTAAATTTTAGTCACTAAAGCCTTATATATTTAAATGATGATGAGGAAAACAGGCACTTTAGCAGCACAGAGGGAAACAGGAAAGGTTTCTACCAAGGGGAATGATTAACTAAATTCTTACAGAGAAACAAAACCCAGAAAAGACAGCACATTGCGTAAGTTTTTCAGCTTGATCTCATATACTCTGATATATGTATGAGCCATTCTCATAAATAAGTAAATTCTTCTTGAAGAAAAAAAAATATGAAAGCAATTCTGGAAAAAAGAGGTCCAAAAGGCCAGGTTAAGCATGCCATGACAAGAGACTTCTGTTGGAAAGGAAGACCTAGGGACCAGTGTCCTGCAAAACAGTGTGTGTGAAGATGTCACACCCAGGCAGGGTGAGTGGATTTGCATCCTGGCACTGCCAGACAGCAGCTGTGTCACTCAGGTAAATGCCATGTTTCTTTAAATCCGAGTCTCTACAGCATCAAAGTGAGGCTCAGGAATGAAGCTTCCCCAAATCCAAGATTGTTGTGAGGATTTAATGAAATGAACACAGGAAAAAGGCAAGTCTAAGGGACAAGCAAATGAAGGTGGTTGTTCCAACTATTTCTGGATTTGATTTATATTTATTTATAATTGATTTTGGAGCTCTTTCTTCCACAATTGCTTATGTATTTTTTTTCTTACATATGGCAGCTAACAACCATCTGTAAGGGGGGGGTGGTCACATAGTTTTGTAGCGCCAATTTTATGTCATAATACAAAAGATCTCTACTACACAGGAGTCCTCACATTAAAATAAAACAGAGAGCTTTCAGATATGTATACATAAAAGTTTTTCTCAGTCAAATCTGCAGGATTAAGGATCTGGAAATACAGCTTCTGTTTTTCTTTCCTCTGTTCCACCTTTCTATACCCTCCCTCCCTTCTTTTTTTCCTTTCCTTCCTCCCTTCAGTAACTCCTGCTCTTCCTCCCTCCCTCTCCCTTCTATCTCCCTTCTAAGGTACTCAAATACATGAACACTGGTTTATGTGAAAGTTACTAAGACAGCTGTAGAGAGTAACTAAACATTATGGGAAGTCTGAGAAGGGAATTTCAGTACCTTAGTTTCTAACCTTGGCTTATATTAGATATGACATGTTAAGGTAAGACTATGGACTCTAATCTGTAAAACAAGGAGTTTAGTGGATGATTAATGAAGTTTCCCCCACTTTTAAATACTGGATTACATTTTTACACCTGAAGAGCCATGAGCAGATATCCAATTCAAACATGTTGTTAAAAACTATCCTTTCTTTTTTGAAGATGGGGGGAGGGGGCTTGAGAGATGGCTTGCTGGTTGGCAGTTAAGAGCATGGGCTGTTCTTGCAGAGGACCTGGGTTCAATTTCCAGCATCCACATGGCAGCTAACAACCACCTGCAATTCCAGTTCCAGGGGATCTAATGCCCTCTTCTGCCCTCCATTGGGAATTGTATACATGCAGGCGATACACTCATACACACATTTAAAAATCCTATTTTGCAATTTTGAAATAATATTTTACATTTTGAATACATACCTGGTACAAGCATTTTGCTACACTCCAAGTTTCAAAACCAGAGCTAGTTTCATGTGTGATCATGTTTCCGTGTTTAAGAAGGCATGAGAAGTAGCTTGAAGCTCAGCTGTTGAAATTCTTGGTGATGTTTGAACAAGCAGTCCTGCATTTTTTTAACTAGCAAAAATTCACTGTACAAAACAGGTTTATGACCTTCCATTCATGTGTATAATATCATGGTTCCCTTTCACTCCCATTGCCCTGTTAAGTCCTCCTTCCCTGTTCCTGCCAGTACCTTTCCTTACCCAAACAGTCCCACCTTCATGTCTTATTTTTCTCTAAATGTAGATTCCACATGAGAAAAAATACAGTATTTGTTTTGAATCTGGCTTACTCGCTGAGCATGACGTCCAATTCCATCCATTTTCCTCTAAATTATGCAATTTTGTTCTGCATTTTCATTCTGCATGGGGTTCGACAAACGATATAGCTGGCTTGGCCATTATTAATAATTTACAGATCAATTTCTATGCTAGGAATTCTCTCTTTAGTTAGAAATCCACAGGAATGTGTTCTGCTTGCATTCATCCTTGGTTTTCGGTTTTCATGTTGATACAGAAGTAGCAAGGACTGCCTGCTAAGCCTCCCAGGCTATGGGAATTGCCACCAACTGGGCACAGGGCCTCACCATGGCTGCATTTGGCTTCAAAGGGCAGGGGCTCCAGTCTTCTCCCTCAGTCATCTGTAGCTTCTGTCCTGGGCAATTCTCACATCTGTTTGCAACAGACTGCAGGGAGCACCCCATGAAAGAAGAAATAATCATCCCTTGAAAATTACAAGCCATCTGGCAGTTAGTGTACAGAGGTTTGAAGAACCAGCCTCCTTCCAGCCCCTTGTTGCTGTTGTTGGGCTGTTGTTCAGGGCCTGCCCACATCTCTGTCAAGTCTAGGCTAGACGCCTTTGTGGGAGTCTTCAAGGCCTAGTAAAGAGGCAGCTAGCTATACAGGGACGGGTTCTTAATTCTATCAATTTCTGGACGATTCCCCTTCAAAACCTACTAGTTGTTAGGGTCCTTGACTCGGTGGGTCTCTTCTGGAGAACAATGTACGAGTATGGAGATGCAAAAATCAAGTAGAGATTTATTAAACCAGCTAGCTGGGGCCGACCGTCCTTCCAAGACGCACAGGTCTGGTTAGAGTGATCGAACAATGCACGAGTATGGAGATGCAAGAATCAAGCAGAGTTTTATTAAACCAGCTAGCTAGGGCTGACCGTCCTTCCCAAAACACGCAGGTCTGGTCAGAGCGATCGACCCTGAGGCAATTTTAGGTAAAGATTATATAGGCTCCCACAACCATTACACAAAAGCCCATGTTTATACAGCCAATAGTTTTAAAGCAAGCATTTCACAAACCAATAACTTTAAAACAAGAAAAATGTTACAACTCCCTTCAGGTGTCTCAATTGGGGAGAGATCGTTGGTAAGTGCCTGGTACCACTCTTTTCTGTTATCTTGTGTAAGCAGACATGCCTACAGACATGACACGGACCAGACAACTTGCCCCTATCTCTGGCTGCCTGTGTCTCCAGCTGAGTTAACTGGTCACAAGCAGTAAATTTAAACAAGTAAATTCAAGCAGTAAATTCAGACAAGCAGTATATTCAAACAAGCAGTATATTCAAACAAGCAGTAAATTCCTCTTTCCCCAACACTAGTGAGCTCACAGTTGTGTGCAGACCTTGGGCCAGGTACAGAGGGCAGAACAGTGACAAACACTTGGGCTAATTACAATGTGCATGGTGGCCCAGACACAGTGGGTTTACTTCCTGGCCTGTGAAATGGGGATAATACCCACCTTACAGAGTTGATCAGAGGATAGGAGGTAATAAGTGACTAGACACTTGAAGATTTACTTAGGGGAGTATTTGGAAGATATAACGTGGGCATATGGTTAAAACAGAACCCAAACCCACCCAACAAACGCACCCAAAATCCCGCGTTTCTCCTGGAACTGTGGAGATATGTTCCTCAGTAGGAATAGTTTAAATGGAAGCAGTGATAGGAACAATGAACTTGATTCGTCTTTTTTCCTTAGTTTTCAAACAACCAAACCTGACTTTGAGAACAGCATTCCTTCCTAGCCCACTAACCAGGGGTGATGCTAACTGCCTAGGGACTCCAAACCACCGCGCTCCTTCAGTGCGGCCCCCGTCTGCGGTCGGTTTGGGCTTCCTGGCCCGCCCTCAGTTTTCCTCTTCCCACGCCTGCCTGGCCCCAAGACACTGGAGAAGCTGCCGCGAACCCGACCGCCCGAGGCTCCCGCGCAGCCGGTGCCACAGCAGCTGGGCAGGGTTTGGAAAGGAAGCGGGCAGAGCGGGAGGAGGCGGAGACGCGTCGTTTTGGGCGGGACGGGGCGGAGCCATGGTTCAATCCACCAGTCCGATGCAGTCTCTGGGCAAGCGGGAGCGACCCTGAGAGGCCACGGGAGTCAGGGCTCGGGGGCGGGACCACGCATGCGGGGGTGGGGCCAGGCCTTGGGGGCTGTGGCGCGGTGGGCAGGGGCCGGCAGGGGCGGGCAGGGGCGGGCAGGGGCGGGGCCTCGGGGAGGTGGGCGGGGCCTCGGCGGGGCTGGTTGCGCGCGCTGGGTTGATCCCGGCCACTGAATCCGCGGGCAGCTCCGGAGCTGCGCCGCCTGCTTGGTCGCACTGCCTAGGGCGAGAGGGGCTCAGGGACCCGGCGATGGCTCGGCGGCGACTCGCGGGATCGGCCGTCCTCACTGCTGCCGTGCTCGTCGGGGGCGCGGTGAGCTCGCCTCTGGTTGCCCCGGGTGAGTGCCGGATCCTGGCCGGGCGCGCGGAGGGAAGCGAGGGGTCGGCCGGGTCGGGTCTGCAGCCCACAGCTCCCGCAGCTGCGTGCGTCCTGCACTGTCGCGGGATCCCCGCGCGGAACATCTGGTTGTCCCGGGGTGGCCCGGGCGGGGCGCGGCAGCGGCTCCGGTCCCTCCCTTCCAGCCCGCCGGGCTCCCGCCTTCCCTCCCCGGCCCCAACCCGGAGGAGGTCTTCAGGGTGTCAGATCTGCCTGGCGTCTCCTTCCTCGGGGCGCTTTTCCCCAGCCGCGCACCGGAGACCCATTTTGCCTCCCTGGTCCTTAAAGGCCTAGCGAGCGGAAGATCTTGACACTAGGGACTGGGTGTCCTGTCGTCGCCTCCTCCCCCTCCCTGCTTTCTTTTTTATTATCTTAAGCCTTGAAGAGTTCCAGTCTTTCCAGGAGGCTTTGGATTCTTGTAATAGGTCACGGATTCCACATTCCTTCCCATATATCCAGGATAAATTAGACTCCGAAAAAGCGAAGGCACATCTGTAAACTTAGTTTTTTTTGTTTTTTTTTCTTTTTCTATTTTTGTATCAATTCCTGTCATCACAAAAGGAACCTTCTGTGGTCGGGGTGGAAGCCACCAGCAGAGATGATAAGTGTTGTCCCCAGTAAACTATCGGCCGGAATTTCTAAGTGAAATCTCTTAGGTGTAACTTTTACTTAAGGAAGCTCTGTCCCTTGTTTTTATAAGGACACGCACCAGGGATTCCCAATCACTGTTTCCCCCTCATAATTGCCACCTCACAGCAGTACTTTGAGAAAGAAAAAATAGACTTAAACCACCTGGGCCGTTTGGGGATACCACAGGCTGGTTCTTACGTCAGCAAGCCCTGCCAAGTTTGCCTTCTGGGGTGGCTCCTCTTCAGGCCCAAATAATAAGCAACTGGAAGGCTTCCAGCAGTCTCTATGTCCTCCATAAAATACACGCACTGCTCTTCCCTCCTGGGAACATTCCAGTTACTTAGAGCTTTGAAACTGGTTTATCACTTGGCCTTGGCTTCTTCAATAGGAACCAGAACAAGCCAGGAATGGAACAGGATGAATAATGTTTCTCTTGAGTCTTTATTAGCAGTCACATTTTCTTCAGCCATCCAGGCTGGGGAGAGGGTGACTAGTGACATGTTTTATTGGATGGGAGACTTTGATGTTCATCCTGTGTTCTTTTGCTGGGGCATATAAGAAACTAATTAGGTTCAAATTAGAGTTAAGACTGCAGACAGTACTTACAGGCTAGTAGAATCACTTGTTGCAGAGTTTGGAAAAAAAAAAGCTTAACCTTGGTGTCAGATTGTTAAAAAATTAGCACACAAGGCATGTAATCAGCCATCACTGGAAGAAATCCATCTCTAGAGTAGGTTTATGTTGTGCTGGGTGTCAGGCTTGCAGTATGACTAAAGAAAGCTCTTTAATTGCTCAGTAACCTTTTTGATGAAAGTTAATACTTAAGAAGAGTGGGACATCTATAAAGGGAAGGATATGGATCCAAATTTGATGTGTCTTGAGGCCTGCATCAAAAGAGGAACCCTGAACAACTGGCATCTGACCTCCTTGGAATCAAAGCCAGGAAGTAAGAAGAAGGAGATGGGAAGTCAGAGAGAGAGTCTGCTGGGTGCTTTGGTTGGGCACCCTATGCATGCTTTTAAACTCAGTCCTCAAAACCCTAAGATGTGTTTGTTTTCAGTAGTGCATCTGAGGTCTAGCGTCCCTTAGGTGTTGTATCGGTCAGCATTAGACAAGTAGAACCAGTGGCAGGTTTTAAACTTTTTTTTTTTAAACTTATTTTAAAGTTTTAAACTGTAAGCTTAGATTTTAAACTTTATTTTTTTATCTTTACACTTTTTTCTTCTCTTGTACCCACTGCTTCCCAGAGAATATAAGTGTAAATCAACTTAAGTAGTATTGCTTAGAGCCTAAGGTAGTTGTAAGATGCCAGAACACCCTGAGCATGTGGTTTTCTGAAGTTGTGCAGTTGAGAAAAGGATAGATAGCTTCCCAGTGGGCAGTGGCAGCTCTTTCACTTTGTTTTTTTTGTAGAAGAGGCTCTGTAACCAGTCTCAGCAGCATGAGAAACTACCCCACAAGCCACTAGAGATGCTTTTCCATGTCCTGCCTTATTTATGTAAAGTTCTCTGGTTACTCAACCTTTGGGTTTATTAGTTCCTTGATTTTCCTATCAGACAGAGACACAGCCCTTGAGTTAAGGAGTGGATGGAAAAGGTCCAGGCACTGGTGCTGGCAGAGGTGCAAACATTCCCTGGGCTCTGCGCACTTCCATCCAACCTCCAATTGATTCCTCATTTAGATGCTAAAGATATGCTCCATTAAATTCTGGACTCGTCTCTAGCCAGGTAGCTGCCCCACTGAATATCCACACAGTCCACAGACATTGGGTGCAGTGTTTTGAAAAATGTACTCCTTGGAGCTTAAATTTCCATGCTTATTCCAAATTTAAAGAGGAAGTGAAAAATTTTCTAAGTGCTTGTCATTTCTTTCTCTCCTCTGTGTCTCCCCCTAGCCCTTCAAAGAGGAAGGAGTCAAGAAAACTTTGGGAGGAGTTAGATTTGAATGTGAGAAGCACAGCTACAGGTGATAAAGACCAGAAAAAAAAATCATTTTTTTTTTTTTCTCAAAGAACAGTTTGGCTTTGATGTTGAAGTCTTATTACATGGTGGGTCATTGTAATTAAATTATTTTAAAATGACACAAAAGAAGAAGGAGATCTGGATTTTGGGTATAGCTCAGTGATAGAACACCTGCCTTGCATGTATAAAAAAGTCCCTGGGTTTGCTCTCTAGTACTATAGAAAGCCAAAAAAGAAACAAATCAAAACCAAAACAAAAAAAAACAAAGAATGATCTAAATTACCACTAGTTAAAACTTACGTTTAGTGATTCCTAATAATCTTTGTGCTTATAATTTAGGAATTCATAATGACTTAAAAAAATTGTTGGCTTAGCTGGGCGTGGTGGTTGTATGCCTTTAATCCCAGCAGAGGCAGATGGATCTCTGTGAGATTGAGGCCAGCCTGGTCTCCATGGTGAATTCCAGGCCAGCTGTGGCTGCATGGAGACCCTGTCTCAAAAAGATCCCCACCCCCAATTTTTTGTCTTTTGTTTGCCTGTAACTGACATATTTATGTAACTTTTGTCTTTACTTTAGGAATTATAATATGTTTCTTTCATATATTAGAAGTTACTTAGAGTTGATACTGTATATTTTTTATTTTTGGGAGCTGAGGACCTAACCCAGGACCTTGTGATTACCTAGCAAGCCCTCTACCACTAAGTTAAAATCCCTAACTCTGATGCTGTAAGCCAGTAGGATAAAAGTATCTAGTGTGATTTTGAAAAACTAAAGTTGAAATTTGAAGTTAGTATATCGAGGCTGCTTTGTTGTTTTTGAAATAAGGAAGTCAGTGTTTATTATTACCTTTCTTGTGGTAGGTAAGGGTCTGAATACTCTGATCAGTTAATTCTTATAATACTGAGAGGTTAGGATTTTACTCCTGTGCATATGGATGAGGAACTAGAGACTCTGAGAAGTTAAGTGGAAACATTACCCAGATGTGTATCCTGGGCTTTGCCATTCTATCTGATCTGTTCAGTTCTAAAACACATTAATTACTACACCATTTTTTTTTTCTCTTGGGAAAGAAAATTCTTTTTATTCTAAAATATTTGCAAAGAATCCCCAAATAATAGGATACTGGTTTGAGATGAAAAGAGTACCGTGCTTTACGTCAGAGCCTTGGATGTGAATTCTCAGGTCAAGGAGAGACTCTGCCACTTGCAGGATGTGGTTACTTTTACATTTCCTCATCTGTGATGTGGGCATTGTGCCAAGTCCTGCCTTTATTGGCTATCAAGGCTCAGCTGAGCTGTTGTCTCTGAGAGGTCTTAGTAGACAGAGACATGTCTTTTAGCCCATTTTTTTTTTTT